GAGCCTCTTTTCAGACCCTTTACCTAGTTTTGTACTTGCAATTATATAGACTTCTCCTTAAAGAGAGCCCCTAGATTGTTTTTGTTCAGACTCCACGAAACTTGGAACTGTCCCTGAGCATAGCACATAAATGAAATTCAATTAGAGTTTGGTTAAAAGAACTGTCGGTGGTGGGGCACGGACTCCCACATGGCCAGCCGCGGTTTGAGTCCCTGACCCGGCTGCTTGGGGATCACAGCAGGCACATGTGTGTGCGTTCCCAGAGTCCTGGGAGGAAAATGAGGAGGCAGGATTGTGGTGTGGCTGTCTCCCCAGGAGGTGAGTTCTCACTTCTCCTCTCACTGTCTCTCTCTCTCCTTCTCTCTCTGCCAAGCACACACACCCTATGGCGGGAACCTTAAGAGAAAAAGCGAACAATTGATCTCAAAATAGGTCAGCCGATTCTGCGAGCGTAGCATCTGCCCCGTCAGTGGGAAGTGGGTAAACAGGGAGGGCTCTCGGGTAAATCGAAGCCTTTCTTCCACGGTGTCTTTCAAAAACAAAGAGGCCAAACGTCCAGGGCGCGCTCTGGAGTTAGAAGTGGCGACCCCTCCTAGCTGTGTCAGTACCTTAGCCCAGGCCTGCAGCATCTACTCCAACACGGAAAGGCCTTGGAAGTCATCACCCCAACCCAAAGGAAAAGGCCGATGGAACGGGAGTCTGACTTTTAGACCCTTGAGGGTCGAGGCCACAGAGCAGACTGCTGCTCTGCACTCTGGACACCCGTGGAGGCTCCTGTCACAGCCGTTGAGCCACAGCCTGGTGGGGACACTGAAGTGGGGATCGTGACAAATGGCCGGAGGCCGAGTATAAACTAGCTTGGAAGTGAGCGAGTCCTTGGGGCACCATCTTAGAGGGAGCCCCCCAATGCACACACACACACTTTTCATGGGTTTTCCCTCTTGGAACCCCATCAGGTTGTCACAGCGAAAATCTCCCTCTCCCCCCACAAAAACATAACTACCTCGTGTTTTGGGGAATCCTAACTCTAAGGGAAATATTACCAGTACCTTTTTCTTTTCTATTTTTTTTAAGACAGATTTTTGCTATAGGGCACAAACGCTCACTGGAGACAGAGAAACAAAAAGCGAGAAATCACCCCCCAGGGGATGGCTATGCCACAATCCCTTGTACTCCATTCTCCTCTCGGGATTTGGGGCACACACACACATGCACCCAGCATGAGTTTTAAGCTGCCAGATCTGGGACTCGAACTGCAGCCAGCCAGGGGGGGCGTCCAGTGGTGTGACCACTGCACTATCTGCTGGTCCCACCAGCGCCTTTTCCTTCCTGGGAAAGGAGAATTAGCCACTTCCAAGCCCTTCTGGCCTGTTCCCCCAGGGGAAAGACGAAATGAAAGCCAGGGACACTCCGCGTGCAGGTCACAGCACAGTGCGGGCCCACCACGTGAGAACTAGCCCTAGGACCCAGTGCCTTCCCTGCTGCACAGCCTTCTGCTGCCACCTTCCTGTCCCCGTGTCTGTGTCTCTCCGGGATTCCTGAGTTGAAACCTAATGCCTGAGCTGGTTGGGTTTTTTTTTGTTTTTTTTTTTTCTTTTTTGAGATGTTTTTGCTAAAGAGCAGGTGGGCTCACTGGAGACACAGAGAGACAGAGAGACAGAAAGCAAGAAATCACCCCCCAGGGGGGATGGCCATGCCGCAATCCCTTTTCCATTCTCATCTTGGGATCTTCGGCACACAACCACTTGCGTCCAGCATGAGTTTAAGCCACCGGCTCCAGGACTTGAACTGTGGTTGACTACATAGGAGTCCAGCAACCTAGCCACTATGCCATCTACTGGTCCCGAGGTGATGGTATTAAGAGGTAGAGCCTTTGGACTGTGATCAGGTCATGAGGGCTCAAGCCCTGTGAAACGGCTTAAAAACACAGACTGGCATGTCCAAGCTGTGGGACTATCTGAAAAGGGTACCCTGAATTATTTGAATACCACAAGGAGAAGATTGAAAGAGACAGGAGAAATATCTGAAGTCATAATGGCTGAGAATTTCCCCAGATTACTGACGACACCAAACCGTAGAACCAGGAAGCTCAGACGGTGTCAAGCAGGATAAATGCCAAACTATCTACCTCTGTGCACCTCACATTCCAGCGGGAGACAAAAGGCACACAGGAAATCCTGGGAGACAGACAGAGGGAAGACACACCTCACAGAGGACCCGGAGAGGAACTCTTCAGAAAGCCCGCGAACAGGAGAGTGGGGTGCGACAGGGGTAGGAGAGAAGGTGCCGTCTAGACTTCTGTGTCCAGCAAAAGTGCTCTTCAAACAGAAGGGAGAAATAGACTCTCAAGCCAACAAAATCGAGGGAGATGTCACCAGTAGACCTGCCTTGCAAAAAAAAAATAGTAACCGAAGTTATTCAGAGAGGCAAGAAGGTGTAGGCTGGAAAGTTGGGTCCGCGTGAAGAAGGGAAGAGAATTGGAAGTGGAATAAGAGAAATCGAAATGACACAGTTAAGAGTATTTTTCTCATTCTAAATGAGTGTAACTGGTAGCGAGGTGTTCGCAATAACCACAGCCACAATGTATTCGGTGATTATCGTTTGTGGATAGGTAAATGAAGAAGGAGAGGTCAAAAGAGCAAAAAATTCCCCCCAAAAAATGAAGAAGAAATCAGTTCCAAGTATTTTGTCAAGAGAATGTCTGAAGTTGGGGATTTTTAAAATAGAACATTCAGGGAAGTTATTAGCAAGAAGATAAATTCTTTGAAGAGGTTAAATGAAGAGCTTCATATAGTGCTTCCGCAGACAACAAGGTATAAAAATGGCCCAGTGTCTTCACTTGCTTGCTTGCTTGCTTATTTATTTATTTATTTATTATCTTCAGTTCGCTATAGGATTCATATGCTCACTAGAGACAGAGAGAGAGAGAGCGCCACCAGGTCTGGAACTCAAACGACGGTCGGCCATGTGGGAGTCTAGTACCTTAACCACCATGCCACCTGCTGGCTCTGACTTTCTTATTTCTGTGTTTGAGAGTTCATATTTTTTAAAAAATCAATGCATGTGGGACCAGCAGATGGAGTAATGATTATATTTCTGGACTCCCACATAGTCAACCCCAGAGCCAGTGACTTGAAATTCATGTTGGGCACATGTGTGTGCGTGCGTACCCAAGATCCTGAGAGGAGAATGGAGGAGAAGGGATTGTGACGTGGCCATCCCCCCGGGGGGTGATTTCTCGCTTTGTCTCTCTGGCAAGCATATGTGCTCTATAGCAAAAATCCCTCTCTTAAAAAGAGAAAATCAACCCATGAAAACATTTGCTGAACACTCGTTTATTTAAGGGGGTGAATATGTGAACTACATTGTGAAAATAAAAAAATAAACCTACCGAGAACATTTTCATGTTAACCAAACGGTCTGCAAGAGCCTTATTTTCATGAACATTATGTGCATTCACTCTTCATGTGGTTTGTCATAATCTCACTACTTTATACTCAACATTAAAGGGCCTTTTTATAATTTAATATTAGTTTATTAAAATACTCAGAATTCATATTAGTTTAATTTCTCACTTATTTAACTTTTATGGAGGAGCCGTTTTTGGTTTTGCTTAGGGTGTGCTCGCCAGAGCCAGAGAGAGACGGAAGTTGAGAAACCAACCCCCAGGGGGTGCCCACACAACAGCCCTCCATTCTCCTGGTGGGATTTCCGGTCCGCACGCACATGCACCGCATGATTTTCAAGCCGCAGGGTCCTGGACTCAAACTGCGAGGCAGCCCTGTGGAATTCAGTGCCTTTACCTGCACACCGCCTGATGGCTCCGAGTGAGCCATTTTAATTTCAGCCTTCTATAGTTTATTGAATTTGACTCCAAGGGTTGTTTTAAAAAAAAAAAAAAACAAACAAAAAAAAACAATGGTTTTAAAAAAAATCTAGGTAGGCCGGAGCCGGAGGACCGCGAGCGCGAGGCTGCGGGGCGCCATAGCAAGCCCTGTCTAAGTGAGAGCAGGCGGGCGGTGCACCAGGGGCCTCTCTCTTACAAAAACAAATTATAAAATAGTTTCGGCCACCAGGTGGCTTGGAGGTCAAGTGCCTGGATCCCACATGACCTCACTGCACGGTTCAAGGCCTAGATCGGCAGCTTGAACATCATGCGGGGCGCATGGCCTAGGTGCCCAGAATCTTGAGAGGGGAGTGGAGAAGGGACGGTAGTGTGGCCAGCCCTGGCCCCCGGCCCCAGCCCCACCCTGGCACAGATGTTATTTCTCACGCTCTCTCTGTCGCTTTCTATCTTTGTGTCTGGTGAGCACACATGCCCTATGGCAAAAACTAAAAATAAAGTTTCCGTTGGCCTTTTGAAGATGTGTGAAATGTAGCTTAATTTGTCATTTTGACATGGTCGGACTTTACAGTCTTTTCCTTGACCGTTTGTCCTTTCCGTGACACGCCCGCACTTGTCCCTATTCCCTGCCTTCTCTGTTTCTAATTACCACACTTCACGTGCACTCACCCGAGATACACAGGGAGGGAGGGGACGAAGCCCCCACCCCCCACAGGGTGCGGCCACGCCCCAGTTCTTTCTCCTCCGTTTCTTTATCCTGATGGGTTTGGAACACCCATGTTCATGTGCCCGGTGTGGTTTTCTTTCTTTTTTTAAAAAAAATTTATTTATCTATCCATTTATTTTAATTTGACTAGAGAGAGAGACAGAGAGAGAGGGAAAGCGAGAAAGCAAGCCATCAGTTCTGGGGCTTGAACCATGGTTTACCATGTGGGGGTGTCCAGCATCTTGACCATCACCCCCCCTGCTGGTCTCCAGCCCAGTGTGGTTTTCAAGCTGCTGGGGCCGGAAATTGAAGCGTGCTTGGCCACGTGGGATCTGATTCACTTAGTCACGAGATTATGACACAACCCTATTTATTTTATTTTATTGATTGATTTTTTTCCAAAAGGTGCCTATGCTTGCCAAGGAGAGACAGAAAGGGAGAGGGAGAAAGCACCCCATGGTGAGCCCTGGTCCCTCTGCAGCTCCTGCACATGTCTCCACCTTGCTGGCATTCGGGGCATGCACACACGCACCCAGCATGGTTTCACACCCGCAGCCTGCATTCAGACCATGCAGCCGGCCATGCGGAATCTAGCTCCTTTAACCACTAGGTCACAGGCCAGCCCCTGTCTTTTCTTACTCACCGGTCATTAAGTATTAATCTTACAGAAGGGAGCCTTTTCACTGAGTTGTTACAAGATTTACTCTATTTCTAATTCCATAACCATTGCAAGGTCAAAATATCACATCTTAAATTAAAAAAAAAATTAAAATAGAGAAATCCTGGCCACCCTGGCCAGAGGTCTGGCTTAATGACTGTGACCTTTGATCTTTATCACCCTTAACAACGTATGTTAACACGTGTGTTTGCTTTTACATAGGCATGTAGAAGTCCAGGTGTTCGGTGACCACCATGGCAATGCCGTGTACCTGTTCGAAAGGGACTGTAGTGTGCAGAGGCGACATCAGAAGATCATCGAGGAGGCCCCGGCGGTGAGGACTTTGTAAAGCCCTTTGTGAACTTCTGTTAGGTTTGGCTAACGGTTTGTCCCCGACGTTTCCTGTTGATGTTGGGAGGCAGTGATTGGACCGTGGTGAACATCGCATCATTGTGAATAGAGGTGGTCCTGAGACCCAGGGAGTTCCAGCTGGCGTGAGGAGGGGTGAGCTCTCGTGCAAGCCGGCTGCCATGAGAGGCAGCACCTGCCCCCTCTGTGCTTCCGTCCACCCTGTCGTCGGTTGGCCTGACGCTGGGCCTGTGCCTTCAGACTTCCCTTCCACCAGCGCTGTGAGTCAGGAGCCCCCATGTCCTTAGCAGGGCAGTAGCAGGCCAAGGCAGCTCCTCCATGTGTCACTCTGATCGTCACATCAGCAAGCTGGGACACTAATGTCTTCTGTCCCCAAAGGCTGACAGGTGCTTCCCAGTAGTATGGTAATAAGATCCCGCAGTGCTGGCTTTTAGAAGGGGGTTGGTATTGTAGGCGTAGACACAACAGGATCTTGCTCCTTCTGGGCATCATCTAGAAAAAGCTACTCAGTAGCAGCCTGAGTTAGAGTGAGGCGAAGTGTATCAGTTACAGGATGGAGTCGTCTGGTTCACTTAACATATTTTCGGGACTGGGCTCTAATTTTGAACTACTATTTCACGTGTTCCTAAATGGCGTTAGTTTGCGTCTTGCCTCAATGTTTATGCTGTGAAGGGAGAGTGCTCGCTCTCGCTCGGCAGCCCTCGCCCTCTGTGTTAGCTGCTCACCCCTGTGCTTTCTCGGCTGGCTCAGACTGTTTTCTGGAAAAGACCTGCCCTAAGACTGCCCATTTGGGAATTAGCATTTGTTTGGAGCCTACTGTTGCCATAGCTTCTTGTCCAAGGCCATGTTCATGGTTTTAAAAAATATATATTCCTTAAAAGTCTGGACTCTGAGGCTTCTATTTAATCAGTTTGTTAATCTTGTGCTATATTCAAAATTTAGTTTCTGTTGCAGTTACCTTTGTTAATTGCAGTAAAGCCTGTTTTCAAGCAGAGATTGCTTAAATATTTATCTACAGATTACTGTTTTTTTTTTCTTTTTTTGGAGAGGTTTTTGCTATAGGGTGCGTGCGCTTGCCAGAAAGAGAGAGAGACAGAGAGACAGAAAGTGAGAAATCACCCCCCAGGGGGGATGGCCACACCACAATCCCTTCTCCTCCATTCTCCTCTCGGGATCTTGGGCATGCACGCACACACGCCCGGCGTGAGTTTAAGCTACCAGGTCTGGGACTCGAACTGCGGTCGACTACATGGGAGTCCAGCGACATAGCCATTACGCTAACTGCTGGTCCCTACTGTTTTAAAATATTAAAACTGGGGCCGGCAGGTGTTGTAGTGGCTGGGATGCTGGACTCTCACATGATCAACCATGATTCAAGTCCTGGACCTGGCAGCTAGCTTTCTCACTGTCCCTCTCTCTTTGTCTCTCTCTGGTCAAATTAAATAATAATAATAATAATAATAATAATAAGGCGTGTGCGCTCTCCAGACAAAGAGAGACATAGAGACAGAAAGCGAGAAATCACCCCCCAGGGGGGATGGTCACACCGCAATCCCTTCTCCTCCATTCTCCTCTTGGGATCTTGGGCACGCACGCACACGTGCCCGGCGTATGAGTTTTAAGCCACCGTGTCCGGGACACGAACCGCGGTTGACTACGTGGGAGTCCAGCGACATAGCCATTACGCTGACTGCTGGTTCCCTACATTTATTTTTATGAACTTCTCATTAACTTGGAATCTCAATTTCCTATTATTCCAAGATAATCATCAGGCATATGACTCAGCTTGTCCCATCATCCTGAAACAATGGGATCACTAAAATTTTCCTTACTGATAATGTAACTTTAAGTGGACATGTGGTTATGAAAGCTGTTGTATAAGGGATCAAGATATGTAATTATGCTTAGTAGTATCTGTTCATGGACATTACTAGCTGAACTATTAAACTTTTGCATTGGGGGCCCGCAGGTGGTGTAGTGGTTGACGCACTTGACTCCCGCATGGTCGACCATGGTTCAAGTCCTAGGCCCGGCAGCTTGAACATCATGTGGGCATGTGTGCGTGCGTGCCAGATCTCAGGAG